GCCAAGCTACGGGTACCCCCGAGGACCAGCCGGGGGACCGCGGCTGGGATTCACCCCAGGCCTGGCTTCGCTCATTCATTTGATTTCCGCGGCTGCCGGGTCAGGCGGCCTGAGAGCGACCTTTTGGCCAAATCATCCTTTGGGCCATGGTTTCCTTTTTAGTGAAAGGGTCAAAAAATAGCCACCTGCCTGGGAGCTTAGAGCGTAAGTTCTGAAGTTAGATTCTCCGGGTGCAAACTTGTAGTCTGCCACGTATTCGTTATGTGACCCCACCGCTAGTCGCTTAACCCCTCTGCACCTCAGTTTCTCACCTACAGAACAGATTACACGTTGTCTGCCTTGTAAATTGCTGTGTTCAATGAGACAATCCCCGTGCATGGTTTAGGACAGTATGTGTCACTAAGTAAGCACCCAAGTCAAGTTGTCTGCATTGCTAGTGAAGGAGCAGTCACTGCAGGGTAGAATCTCCTGTCTCACCACAACTTGGGAAATGTGTGCTACTGTTATTTCCACTTGACAGGGAGGGAAGAGGGAATCCCAAGAAGGGAAGTAACTTGCCCAAGGTAACCGTGAATGTCTGTGGCTTACCACTCCAGTATTTAAGAAGTTTAGGGTAATAGAGGTGTTAAAAACAAACTTTGGGTTCAAGCTGCCTGCAGTTTGAATCTCAGCTAGTTATGTGTCTTAGGGCAGGTAACTACTTCTGAGTCTCAGCGGTACTCAGTTGGATGTTGAGCATTTAATGACTATGCGTGCAAAGTACTTAGCTTAGTACGGGCATACCTGACCCATGTTAAGTGTACAAATTTTAGCCAATAAGGTTATTATCTTTAATGGGAGGTGGGAAGGTTAGGATTCTGACTCAGATGCTGTGTTAGGGGAATTTCTAGCTGGGAAAATGCTGGATAGATCCTAGTCATTCACTAGACCTTAACATATTTCCTACATGCATGTTCACATGGCCCTGGGGATTCAGCATTAGCATCTTGATTCAGTCTTTCATATCTTTCTATCCATCAGCAATTCTGGCTTTAACTGTGAATTTTAGCCAGACTGACCACTTCTCACCACCTCTGGTGTCCCTCTTTAGGTCCCTGGTCCTGTATAGTCTCAAACACAGTATTGTTTATTCTCAACACTGATCCTGTTAAAATGTAAGTCAAATCACTCCTCTGCTCAAACTTTCTAGTGGCTCCCATCTTGCTCAGTAAAGGCCAAAGTTTCTACAGCAACTTGCAAGGCCCCCTGGATTTGGCCTCTGCCACCTCTGTCACCTTGTCCCTCCTTCTCATCCTTTGCTTACTCTTTAGCCATACTGTTCTCCTTGCTGATGTGAAAAAGCACCATACACATTCCTGATTCAGGATATTTGAACTAGCTTTTCTTATTGGGCTGTTTCCCTTCAAATAGTTCTACGACTTGCTCCTTTTCCTTCAAGTCTACCACAGTATTATTTCTTACGTGGCCTGCCATGTTTAAAATGGAAGCTTTTCTCAGATGTCCCTTCAGTGTTGTATTTTTCTCCATTGCACGTTTCACCTTTTAAAATGATAAATGCATCTCAATTATTTAGTGTTATATTTTTCTTTTCCCACTAGAATGTAAGCTCCATGAGGTTGGAGGTTTTTGTTTGTTCTATTTCCTGTTTCATCTTCAACACCAAAGCAATGCTTGGTCATAGTAGGCATTCAGTAAATACTTGATTATCAAATACTCCACATTATAGAGATCTCTAGTTTTTTGTTGTGGTATTTTAAAAAGAGCTTTTACACTCTAGATTATTTGAAGCACAGAAGAACTTAAATAGAACTAACCTTCATGCCCCAAGGTAGGCATCCCTTCTACAACATTATTCAAAAAATAATGGAGTTTGGAGTTAGACCTGGATTTGAGTCCAAGATTGGCTATGTGTAAACTACTCTGGAACTCAATTTTCTATAATAATTCCTTTCTGAAAGGATTCTAGTTCAAACTAACTTTGACCCTATAACCTTGAGCAGTAGGTACTATTATTAATCCCTTTTTACACTTGAGGAAACTGAGGCACAGGCTGACCACATTGTAATTGCCACAGTCACATTGCTAATAAGTGGCAGAGCTAGGATTTAAACGACTCCAGAGGCCATGTTCTTCACTACTTTATAGTACTGGCTTGGGACCTCATCCAAGAGAAGGCTGTTGGGGGGTTTCTTAAGGAAGAAATACTTGAACTAGAATCTGAAAGTAAAAATTAAGCAAAGTATAAGTAGGGGAAAGCATGAAAAAGTGCTGGATGGAGAAGAACATAGCTCCTTAGAGAACAGAGAGGAGGCCAGAGAGCCACAGATGGAAGGAAGAGTGAGGGAAGAGATCTGGTTGAGAGGTGGGCAACGCCATGAAGAGGATTCAGGGTTGGGTCTGTCCTGAGAGGCATAGGAGTTGCTAATGTACTTGAAATGGGAATGGCCCGATGAGTCCTGTGCTTTAGACACATGAAGGCTGCTGGGAGGACTGTCTTTCAGATAGTTAAAGACAGTGCCCACCACTTCCGTAAGGCTTCTCTCCAGTTTAAACCTCCCAGTTTCCTCACCCTTCCTCACATGATTTGGTTTCTAGACCTTGGTGGGCATCATCATTGAGACCCTGTATAGAACTTTAGAATAGTATGGATTGTGTTTAACAGTCTTTTTCCCCCAAGGTGTAAGCACTGTTGTCCTGTTGGCTGTGGCAATCATAGCCAGTGCCCAGGCTCTGACGCCCACTCACTACCTCACCAAGCATGATGTTGAAAGACTGAAAGCTTCGCTGGACCGCCCTTTCACAAGTTTAGAATCTGCTTTCTACTCTATCGTGGGACTCAGCAGTCTTGGTGCCCAGGTGCCAGATGTAAAGGTAAGGTTCCTTTTATCTTGGTCTCATCCCTTCACTATGTTCCTTTTGTGTACCTCATAACTATCTTTTGCTCATTTGAGGATAACCAAGGTTAATACAATACAATAAATATGATATCAGCCCTGGCCAGTGTGGCTCAGTTGGTTGAGCGTCGTCCCATGTACCGTAAAGATCGCCAGTTCAATTCCCGGTCAGGGCACATGGCCAGGTTGCGGGCTCAATCCCCAGTAGCAGGCCTGCGGGAGGCAGCTGATGTTTTTCTCTCTCTCTATCCTTTCCAATATCTCTAAAGTCAATAAAAACACATTTTAAAAAATACTATATCGCCCGGCCGGGCGTGGCTCAGTGGTTGAGCGTCGACCTAGGAACCAGGCGATCGGGGTTCGATTCCCGGTCAGGGCACATGCCTGGGTTGCGGGATCAATCAGTGACTCTCATCATTGATGTTTCTATCTCTCTCTCTCTCACTCTCCTTTCCTCTCTCTGAAATCAATAAAGATATATTAAAAAAAAAAAAAAAAATACTATATCAACCAGACAGATTTTTTTGAATGCCTGATGTATTTTTAGGATCTTGTTAGGTGTTTTAGCAGAATTTAGAGAAGAGCAAGTCATAGATCCTCTAGAAACTTTTATTGCAGCTCTCTCTGAGTGGAACTGTACAATACCACATGTATTTGTTAAGTGTTCTATATGTGTGGCTAAGAAATAATAAAGGATTACAAGATTGGGGGGCATTCAGATTTATTAACCGTCATTGTCCCTGCATCAGGCAATTTTGATGTGAATCTTTGACGAAGAAAATACGTCATAATTAAAACCTTTCCTGGATTTATGAACAGTCTTAAGTGCATTCACGTATTATTCATTATAGTAGCATGGATAGCTAAGATAAGAAATTAAGGCCAGGTTTCTCTTATATAAGCCTGTGTATTAATTTTTTATGGCTGCATAAGAA